GGAATTCTACCAAAAGGCACATCTCATTAAAAAGGTTTTGCGATTATCGGGGATTTTCACGTGGCTAAATGCCCCGCGCTGACGTCACAACGTTAACGGCATCAATCTGTACTTCAATTCTAATTACAAACTGTTTACAAGGTTGTCCAGTATATTTGATGACCATTTGACACGTGGTATACAATACTTATGACTTAGTAATAGTGGGTTTAAATGGGTAGAACAACTCGTTCACTATCACTAATGTTCTCACAACTGATTTCTATTGTCTATTGGCCCGTTTTAGATGAATCAAAAAGCCATGATGGTGCCTCATCCTAGTAGACAGCGTTGTTTAATAAAAAAAACTTAATCGCTAGAATGCAAAAAGGATTCTCTCCGACACGAAACACTGCATTTCGAGATTTCGATTACTCTTTTGATAAATTTCTCTCAAAGCACAGTGCCAACTCCGCCACATTAACTTTTTCAAAACATTGATGAATTTATCCCTTCTCATTTTAAAGGTAATTTTTGAAATTATTTTTTTTCTTTTCCTTGTTAATAACTTTTGTGTGTGATCACGGAATTAAGTTGTTTCTTGATTAACTCAGTGAATGCATATCAATCCGATTTTACCTAATTTTAAAACTTGAAAATCGACCCGTGTATTTTACCAGTACATTAGGCAAACATTACATCAATAGTTTTATTTTTCTTATTTTTTATTTTTCGTTTTTGGATAATATCTTTTTCAGTTAATTGAAAATGCATATATCACCAAGATTAGTTGAAACAATATCACATCGTAAACCAACCATGTACGTGGAAGTGGGGACTCAAGAAGACGTCAAAAAATCAGAAAGTCTGGCATCAAATATCCTTTGAAATAAAAACTTTTGTCGCTCTTATAAATATACTTTTCAAAGCCAATTCTCCAACCGAAGCTTTTTCCAGATCATGACTCTACATCGTCATATACCAGTGGGCGTTTCACAAGAACTCTGGAATAAGCGCGACGCACACGGTGGATTACGACCTCAGCCAACGAACTCCCAAGGCCGGCAGCTGTGCTTTTTTCATCAGTGCACGACCTTCAGAAGCTTGAAACAAAGTCCTATCTCGATATGTTTCTTAAGTAGACCTCGGGTGAATAACACCAAACGCCCAAGAGCAGACACACCAGCACAAACCCCACGGAAAGGATAACTCAGCTGATAGACCAAAGTGTGCGCCGGCCTTGAAAAAGCATTGAAGAACCCAGAAACAAGCTCGCAATTGCCATTTGCTTCATCAAAGAGCAGCCAATATCCTTAAGTGAACCATCGCTGCGGATTCCCCGTAGAGAACTGATTTGCCTTACTTGTGCTACATGTTCCGCCGTGGCTTTATTAAAGTAAATCATTATTTCCAGCGTCGCCCCAGCAAAGATCAAAGGATAAGTCATTTGTTAATAAAGTACGATAAAAACGAAATTTGTCGCGACAATTTGCAATGACCTTTATCTTGACTGGGCTACGATTTGAACGGCCTACGCCTGAAACAATAGATCTAGAATGCTCTACCTTTATGCTTCCAGTCTTCCGTCCAAGGTTTCATTAAAAAAATATACGTGGGATTTTGTGCTAATATTCTAGGTGCCATAAGCAATTCATTAATTGTCAAGAATCATTTTTCTGTTGAAAATCAATTTATGATTACCAGGCGTTTATACATTTTACGCCACCCATGCTTCAGGCAAGCCAGCGATTACTTCCATAGTTTGGGATTTCACTTCGCGTTAAAATGCCATTTCCATGCGGCTATTGTAATTTCAGAGCCAAAACGTATTTCAAAAACGATTTTGGCAACCAGAATCTGACAGTTGAAATATTCATTCTGTAGAATTTAATTATGGAAAATTACCTATGGATGTTACATACAAGACAATTCAATTAACCATCTGTGTTTCAAGACGTAGAAACAAAGAAAGAATTCATTAACCATAAGGTTACGCTGTACCGTGAGATTGAATGAAACCTTGTCTTTTCTATCACAATTCCTCCTCAGTTTGTTCATTCGACCTATGAAAGTTGATTTACATGCCCTGTCGCGCAATAACAAGTATGTTGACTTTGTTTTTATTTTTTTATTATTTTTGGTGTGTGTGTGTGTGTGTGTGTGTGTGTGACATTATGATTTTAGCAACCCCTAATCCTCTTTTCCAAATGGAAACTTATTGTGCCTTCTCATAACCAGACGATAATTCGAACCGAAGCGTCCACACGGAAAGTAGGTGACCTCTACATCATTATGTAAATCAGGTGAGTGTTTTAGTGAGAGGTGCTCAGATAGGACCAAGGTCAGTAGAAGATAGAGAGGAAGGATGTCCCATAAGCCATATTACTGCTACTGTCACATGTAGGCCGAAAAGATGGCACTGAAACCGGCAGAAGTATCTCGTAAGTTCCGTACAGATGATAGAAAATGTATTGTAGCATTTCTTAGTTTTGCATTGACGACATTTTCCCTAAATAGTGCACTCTAGGCATAATGACCATGGAGACATCTAACTGACGTGAAGGATACTTTCTCTTAGTTTTCCCTCAGTGCCTTTTGGGCACCCTTTTGTTTCTGATAACCCTCAGCTTTCCATGAGGGTTAAATATAAATATATAATTTGTATAATTTTAAAGCTTAATTGCAATTCGTTAATCATAACGCAAAGGATACTGACACGCATTGCTGTAATGAACATGTATTGCTTTATCGGATCTTTAGACATCGTTTCATGGATGTGAATTTATTCCTTTAATTCCAGTGACTCTAAGTACCCTTTACGAAGATACCAGAAGCGTCCTACTCAGAGACACGTTTCGTGTTCGACACTAACAGCCCCACACCCATGCTAAGATTGCCTACTATGCCGACGTTAATTTGCAGGGATGACATTTAGTGCGGAATGTTGTTTGCCTTTGCTTGTAACATTCTGCACCAAAACGTAAATCAAATTAAAAGTCGAATGAAATGAGCTCTTTATTTGTGAAACATCTTATAGAAATTAAATTCATACTAAGCGTCCGCCCTGCATGGTGCTGGTTCGCTTCTTTTGGTAATTGTATGTTACTATGTCGTTGTACAGTGCTCTATCTGATAATGGTGTTATGAGGGTAATTTATGTGTGCTTTTTGTGTCGGGGTAGATACCCGTACTGTTATGAGGAGATGTAAATCTAAAAAAAAAAAAAAAAAAAAAAAAAAAAAAAAAAAAAAACGTATAACGCCTTAAAAATCCCAACATTATGTAACGGCAAAACGTCCCCACGTTGCTGCAGAATTGTCCACATGTACTACGGTATATAAGGATCTTTTAACAATTATAAATATGGCACTGTGGCTGGGAATTAACTTCCCTCTGGTTCTCGGTGTTTTCAGTACTGGGCAGGGATCAAATATCTGTTTTTGAGACAAAGTTAAACCATGGGGCGGGGTAAAGATTGCCATCCGAAATAAAAATTAATTTAATATTGCACTAGTAGAATGGAGATCTTTCCTGCGTATATGATAAGAAAACTGTTCCTATAGTTTTCTATAAAGAATTCCAAGGATTGGGATCATTTATACGCCGTTTAGGACCTATAAAACAAGTGTAGAAAAACAAAAACGGCAAATATACTTCATTTAGATATTGTTTGTCCATTAAAATGTTTCTGTAGGACTGCACAATTTTCGGGAGGTAATGAGTATTCTGAAGGGATTCAACTTTTGTCAATTTTTCTCAAAAAATAGTGCACACTTAATAATTCCTAAATAAAATGTATAAATTTTTTTAATTAGATTATAAGATTTATTATTTTATCTGTTATGCTTAAGTCCATTCTAACAGTTTGTCAGTTATTTTTATAATTTTACGGAAAATTCTATTTCAAAGGGTTTTGTGTAAATGGCAAAATCGATATTCTACCGTAGTGTATGTAAACCTTAATACTTCGTGTGGTTTGAATATTTATTGTGAAAAGCATCGCTTAAATGTGCAGAGGAGCGTTCAAATTAAAGTTGTTCTGTATTCTTAAAATTTTGATTTTTTCGGGATTAATTTAGAAAGACAGGCTTGGTTAGATTTCAGTCCTGCATGCCCATGTTGTGTTATTTGTGCTTAGTGTCATCACTGGATACCCAGAACCAGAGTTAGTTTTAAGTGAATATGAAAAGTCACTTCAAGTACACCGATTTTTGCGAAACCCTTTCAGTTTTGTTCGTATTTTAATCTGAATTTGGCTAAGACTTGGATAATCTTGTAAACCGTCCATGTCTTTATGTCGCTCCTGATTTGCTTTGCAAATGTAAATTTTCATCCACAGTTACGCCATCTATGATCTCTATTTTAGAATTTGGTGAAAAAAAACATCAATTGGCAAAACAACCAGGTAACTTACAAACAAGAAATTTTGGCAGATTATTTACATTTTTAAAATTATTACAGTCTCTGAATTTGGACAGAAATGGTTTTGATTGAATTCGATGAAGACGAGGCACTTATGTCAAAAAAGTTGCCAAGTACAATTTGTAAGAACATACATTTTGTCTATTATTAGTTCTTGCCAGTCTTTCAGTGTTACGATCTTTGTCTTTTTTTTTCATAAATCGAAGGATTCGGACTTTTAGAAACAATGTTCGAAGTACATAAAATCTGCGACTTGTTTTATTACAGATATCTACCGTCTTTTTTGTTTGCTAAATTTTAATTTGTAATAACTTAGAGCCCAAAATGTTTTCGTTATTTTTGCAGAAGGTAAGGCGCTTGGAAGCGCCAGGAATCGAACTAGAGTCCTGCTGCCTCCGAGCCGAGCGTGCTTTCCACTCCCCTACGTATTCCCAACCAACCACCCCTGGTAGACTTTCTTCTTATAGTAACTAGAGGGAATTTTTAAGAGCCCTTCCGGAAAAATATTTAATATGTTCCAAGTACTAGAATCGAACACCCACCCCATCCTTCGAGTTCCGCCAAGCCGATGAAAACGCTAAGCCAATTTGCATATAAATGTAAAATTTTATTTGGAGCAAAATAAACTGCTGATGTTTTCTCATGTTTTAAAACATCCACTCGTTAAACATTTTTTAAAATATTTTAATCGCAAGTTTTGAATATTCAGAAATGTAAAACAAAAATAATGATATCTGCATTAAAACTTGCTTAAGTTTGATATGATAAATAAACTATCTAATGAACTACTTGGTTAATATTTGATCTTGTTATAATATTAAACAAATTAATTCAGATAAAAATGACAATCAGAATTTTTTAATTTCATTTTTGACAAATGATAAAGGCAGGTACATATGATGGTTTTTTGATGTAAGCATTAACACATCAATTCAAACAAAGAGGATAAAGTGTCAGGAAGTCATAAAACACAGGCTACTGTTACCAGGTGGGAGCTGAATAAATATATAAAAAAATAAGTAAAATTCCATGAAATAAACTTGGTTATCTTTTACAGGGGCGACCCAGAGAAATTTTCTGACAGTCTTCCAAATTGTCTTTGTTGATCCATCCTCCATTTTTGACCATCTTCCGACAAAATAATCAGACACCCATCAATGCAAACTTGAAAAATTCTGACTGTCTTCCAGAAGACCCAGAAGACGGCCTCAATCCGCCCCTTCCAATGACGAGGTTGGAGCTGGGATCTGACATCCAGTCATGGCACATCTCTCTGATGAAGTATTCCTAGCAAATGGCTGTCTCAATACATGACTGTCAACACTGTGGACGCCCTCCGGCCCTCGATTACTCTCTGAAATGAAAAATAAATTAATATTTCATTAAAGTGCTATAAAATTTGTCCAGACAATAAGTTAATAAAATCTAATGTTCATGGAATCAGCAAGTTCAACTGGTAAGCCATCGTGAGTTCCAATCAAACAATATGCCATACATACGCAAATTTATGAACAAAGACACACATGTACTCTGGACATCATCACGACACGTTCAAAAACAATTTTTGAGAAGGAATGAATTATGTCTTTACTCAAAAGTTACTAGCAAAAAGCCATCTAAAGAAGAAGGATAATAAACCTAAATAAATTGACATAATTGCCAAAGTAAATAGATATAAGGCAATGTCAATATTGTATGTGGTATCTTTAAATTCGTCCTTTCACTTTATCCAGAAAACCATTGGAACTACCTCTATATAGCCCTGTACTGTTGATGCCAAACACCCCTCCAATATTAAACACTTCACCCAAGGCACTAACCTTGAATCAAATTTACCAAAAATTGATTGCCCAGCAAGGACACAAATATTATTTCTTTCGTAATCAATATACGGTCATGGCTCAATTCATTTAAACCGGGAAAAATGATCAGTTTTTCATATACATTATTATGGAATTACAATTACAATTTTCTGTAGCATTTTGGTGTTTTTACTGTGTAAAGTAGAACTATAAAGTTGTCTGCTTTTCAATGTTCTTGCTAACACTCAATAAGAATGTTCTAATTTAAAGAATCTGTTACTTGAAAAATACTGCACCTCCAAAATTCACAATTTTCCCAATTGAAATGATAGAGCCATTACCTTAATTACCAGAACATCTAACTTGGCAGTCTGAGAGCAATGAGCTTAGACCACACTACAATAAAAGACGGATCAATGCAGGAGAAAGCCAATGACCCCCCCCTCCCCCCCCCACACATACAAACACACACACACACACACACACACACAAACACTTCCACCAGTCTAAACTGGACACCAGAATAATGACATTATTGGTCTGAATAATGACTTTTCTCTCAACGTCCTAGTTCATTCCTCTACCACTTAACACTGTATAACCCAGGGACACCTTGACACTCCAACTACGGAAATTACACTAGAACTACTGCCTAGAACACAGCTTGTAAAGTGAAGTGGAGGAAATTACAATAATATAATTTCTGCAATTTGACAGCCCTTTCATTTATCATGGATTAGGATCATTATGGTAGGTTCAGTGGAGAGAGCGGTGTAAGTGGATCTCGATAGGTTAGAGCAATCGACTTCCAATCCACTCGCATTGAAAGCTTTCAGAACAGCCGACTTACAGATCTAAGGATCAAATATGGCTGACCCACTTGAATGCTTGTGGCCTAATCCCTGAGGGGCATCTATTCAGTGTCTAATCAAGAAAGTTTTTTAGTGGGTCGCCATATTTGATCCCTCTGGATCTGTAAGTCCGCACATCTGAATGCACTAATTGCCATTTCTTTAATATGTGAGAAGCATTCTGTATCTTTGAAAATAAACTTTAAAGAAGAGACCAGGGATGTCTCTGCCATTTAGTGGGAAAGTTGGAAAATATGCCATTGGGTCCCATTGGCAGCCTAAGCCAGTGATATTTTTGGCTCTCCAAAAGTCGGAAATACGCCAATAGTAGGAAAAATCTCATCCCAGGGACTGCATTTGTCTCACCTCATAAATATTGTCCTCAAAATCTTAGTTCACACTTCAAGAACTTCTTCCTTCCATGACATCCTATACTGGAGGTCCTGTAACCAATCAATAATTCGATTTAATATTTAAAAAGCTACATGAAAAAAAAGGGGGGGGGAAAGAATATAACAGTAATTAAAACATTGCCACTCCTATGAAAAGCTCTTTGTTGTAAACATGCTTGTGCATTGTACAGTAAAAAAATCTTCAGGCAAATTATATCATAAAGCAACTAATCTCTTTAATTTATTACCCTTAACAATTCATGTATTAACTGTAAATCTCAAGTCAGCTTTGCATATTATGAGGTAATAAATCGGAACATTTATCAATCACCTGTTCAGCACATCTCCATCTTTTAATAAACAGACTGGCATCACATTTCTTTTTCTTATTCGAGACGTCTCAGTTTCAGACAATGTTGACTTAGCTGTTCAGTTCCATGCTAGGTAAAAAAGAAATAATTTAAAAAAATTATAAGCATTATTTGTGGCAAAATGCACATATTTTTGCTGAAATAAAGCAATCAAATGATCTTAAACCAAGAACTTTTTGATTTGTAAACTGCTACTGCTATCTACTGTATTTCAGTAAAATTTTATTAAAAAAGTAAATGCATTAAATATAATTTTAACTTTACAAAGTATGTATTTACTTCAAATTCATCAAGTTTTCAAAAAGTAATTACATCAAGTATCCCTGGTCTTTGTATGATTTTTTTACTTCAAAAGGCTGTACAGAAAAGCTTTATCTACATCACTCAATCCTGAGCTTTCATTTTTAAAATGCATATTCAGTCAATCTTTTTTTGTTATAAAATATATTTCATAAGCGACATTAATCAATGAATTTTTCTTTGGTTTAGATATCACGGTAATTTAAACAATTTCCCGAAATTTCAACACCATTTTAAGTACCAATCTTAAATATTTAAAGTTTTTTTTTTCCAACCCATTTCATATTAACGTAATGCACATAGAGAATTCATGATAAAAGTTTCAGTTTGCCGATTCAGTTCAGGAAGGAAACTATTTTATATCAGCAAGAGTTAATCACATCACTCAAATGAAAATGAACTCAAACGCGACTTACGTTTTACAAACACCTTAAAAATATTTAAAAAGAAAATTTAAACAAACAAACAAAAAAATATATATTTAGCCTGCCATCATTTAAATGACACCTTTTATTGTTCACGTAAAACTGCGATATTTTTTTCCGAGACTGTCACCTACCCTTCAAGAGACGGATAACTGCGGCACCCTCCAACGCCTTCCTCCTAACACAGTGAATCATATTACTCAGCAAATGTTAATAATATGAACAAAAGAAAAAGGAATTACGATGAGGTATTTATGGAAAATCACATGTGGAGAGTTTCAGAAAGCAAACGCGTGGGGTTAGTAGCTTATATTTTAAGTTTAATAGAAATAAAAGTGCTTGTCTAAACAGTGGTTAAAATAACATCGTCAACACAATCATGGTATTATAAAATTTGTGGTTTAAAAAATATTATATAACACAGAATCTTGGTATTATAAAAACTGCGATTCAAATAACATTATCCAATGCAGAAACATGGTATTATAAAAACAGCGATTTTAATAACATTATTCAATGCAGAAACATAGCAGTTTAAATAAGATTTTATAATGCAGATTTCCAGTGAAAACACGACTAGACATCCATCATATCACTTTAGTGACTGCATATTACGACGGATTTCCATGGATTGGAATTGGCGGATTTACATCAATATCTAATTAGCCTACAATTGACTGAGCAAATTATCATGTTAATTTTCCCAAATGGAGAAATGGTAGATGAGCAAGTCGAAGATGTAAAAATACATTAAAGAAAGAAGACAGCATCCATTTGGCTAATAAAATTTTGATATTTAACCAAGTACTTTTGGTTCTTTAAGGTAAGAAGTTTCTAGAATGTGGTTATTACATTTGACAGTTTCTAATTTTTAAATTAGTAGTGCTCTGTTCTATATTAGTTCACTATATTTTTTAATTCATACTTGTGCTCAGTCATTGAAAGGAATTGTATTTCTTTAATATATGTATTTAAAAAAATTATTTAATATTAGCCAATTCAATTATGCAAAAAAAAAAAAAAAAATGATTAAAAAAATGGTCATCTTTTATGGAAAAATTATTTGCTTGTCAAGAGAGCCTGTTTCTCACTGTCTTAGCAGTGTTCAACTTGGTAAACATCATAACCATTTTACTCGGTGAAAATCACTTCATTCAGAGTTAATTTCATCTGAGATTAATTCCATTATCCCCGCCTGGTTATGAGCTGTGAAGTGACGACGTCAAGTGACGACGTAACATGCGACCACATTGAGTAAATGTGTTAATGTCGTATATGTGCTATTTTTATAGACAGAATTGTATGTGTATCCATAAGATAAAAAGAATGATTTGCTGGGCATGCCTTGCAAAATTTATTAAAAGAGTTCAACCATCTGGCACTGTGGTGATCTTTGGGTGCTGTGGCATCACATGTAATACACCGCAAGACGTGTTTTGTTTTAATCTTCTCAATTTCACGATCATTTAAATAAAACCCTTGAGGAAATAGAAATGCGTAATCATCATTCATGTACCGATGCATTTACATCAAGTTAATCAACTTTGAGACTACAGGAATAATACATTTGCATAGTGCAATCTACTTCTTAATCGGATAATCTTGAAAATAAAACGACCGCATAAACACAGCTTAATGATTTCACCACAAGAGAGTTTAGTGCTTTCACATATTTGATAATCGGCTACCAATGAACACAAATGTTCATTTGTCATTATGCATAAAAAGATGCACCATGCTTTAGAATACTAGAGAATAGCATGGGTGCACCTGCAAATGCAGAGTTTTCTTGGATAACGTGGACAGCAAAAATAAGATTTATCCTCATGAATAGAATAGGTCACATTTAACGGATGAAATAATTTAACCAACTGGTCACTGGACATTTGTTGCCAATTCTTCAAAGGCAAACATCACAAAATATGCACCACGTGCACAAAAAATCAACTGAAACCATGTTTCACTGAAAATGGTGAGCATTATGTTGATTCACAATCGTTGTGTACACAAGTCGCTCGCCTTTCAACTCGCGTTCAACCTTAAAGTGCCCTGAGCGCGCAAGCAAAACTCATTTTAGACCAACTAAATTCTTACTACGAAGAAGAATTAATATTATGTTGCAAAATCATGGTATGAAGATCCACTCCTTCCAGATATCAGGCGGGAGACCACCATTTAGTGAAAAAAGAAAAATATCGTGGGGTCCAAATTTAACCCTACACTCCCCATCTGCAATAAAAACTTGGCATCGATCTCAAAAAGCCCATTTCTTGGCTCCTAAAAAGTCGGAAATCTGCAAACAGTTTGAAAAAACTCATCCCTGAGATGATGAAAAAAGTTTTCTCTCCGGCTCAGTGTTGCACGAATGGTTATATTTTAAAATTCTTGTGACAGACTTTTTTTTCTAGAATTTAGTTATCTTTTTTATATTAGAGTTCATGATAATCTTCAAGCACAATTTATTGTCAAATTAATGGACACAGAATTTTATATTTATATCAATACACTGAGCATAAAATTCATATTTGATTTTTTATTACACTAAAACATACAATCTACAATGAAGGAAATTATAAAAACATCTTGAAAGATACCTAAGTAACACATTTAAAATGTAACATGATTGTTATAACAAAATGGAATTTCTAGAACCTATTCTGCTAAACAATGCAAATTTAAGTAAACATTTCACAGGGATAACATCAACCTCGTCAAGACTGATCCCCCCGCACAGTGTCAACAATCATCCATGTCAACTATCATCATTTAAAAAGTTCTTTAAAATACAAAATAACATAGTGATAACATGTCTGACCTCGCATGGTTCTTTACAGGGCAGTCTCTTACTAGTATGTACAATACTTTCTCGGCAATGAGAATTTATAAACAGCTTTATTGCCTCTGCATTATTGTTGTTCCTGCACTACGCTAAACATACTTATCTACAGTTCTTTCTATGAAAATATGTATCTGCCCAAGAAACTTTGACGCATCTTGCTTTGTTAAGATTTTAATACAGTCCCAAATATCAAACATACTCCATTAGTTTGTAGGCTATACAAGGGATTCAGCAGATGGGTTGTGTCAATCACATGAGGGGGCGGGGTCGACCTCCCTGACCTCCCATCCCCATTCGCTGTTGCTGCTGCATCTGAGCAGCAGGGCGGTCTCCTAGCAACCCAGCTGGTCCGCCTCCTCCGCCGCCATATCCCTGCTGTCCCTGTGCACCGTAACCTTGCTGAGCCTGTGCGCCGTATCCTTGCTGTGCTGCACCATACCCAGAGGCACCGCCATACCCCTGCTGCTGACCTCCGTAACCTCCCATGGCCCTCGCCTGACCTCCACCGCCATACCCGGCCTGCGACATGGTACTCTGCCCGCTGGTGCTGCCCCCTGTTGAGATGGAGGTGATATTCTTCAGTAGGTTGGGTCCACTCTGGATCAGACTGTCCAGGGCCTTCTGGATACTGGGGTTGTCAAGGTTCAGTCCCACGCCTCCAGCCTGAGCCGACTGCTGCTGCGGGACCTGTGGCTCCTGGGCGGCCATCCCGACCCCCTGGGATGACGGGACGCCGCTGTTGGGGTTCAGAATGCTGAGGATCTTGGCCTGGAGCTGAGCCTGTTGTTGGAGCAGAGATTTCTCATCGCGCAGTGCTCCTGTCTCTCCTGCTCCCCCTCCCGCACTTACACCTAAACACAAATATAATAAGTCATGTTATTTTTTTTTCTTTGAAAATTTATACTTATTGTGTGGATAAAGCAAATAATACATACACTGAATAAGAATTATAAAACAAAAACAATTGGTTTTAATGAGGGCAGAAGATAATCCTCTTTTTATCTTGCTAAAGAACATTAATGTATCCATGGCACAAATTAAATTTTAAATTTTCTGTAAAGGTTTTAACTGGTGATCTATTAGTTGTGTATATGGTAACAAGCTCAGAACTTAAGACATGTATTTGTCAGATTTGATTTGTAAACAATCCCCAATGTTTCGGCATGTATGGGTCATAATAACAACCGATTTCATTTAAAAATCAATATCAATAAGCATGTATATATATATTTTAATATATATATATGTATAAATGTATTACCATTGCTCGCACCTCGTTTAGGCAGCATTTGGTCGCGCCTCTCCTTCACATATTTCAGGACCTTCTCCAATTCTTCCAGTGTTAACTGGCGGCCATCTGCCATGAGATTAAGCAGATAGGCAATACTTGGGTCTGGGGGTGTAAAATCCACCTTGGGGGG